CAGTAGGCTGAGCCGGGTCTCAACTCTTTTAGAAGAGTAAATTATATTCCTAATGCCAAAAGCACTCTTGCCTCCCTCCTGCTAAAAAAAGGTCTCCATTCTTCTGACACGGCAGTAAACATGGTGCAACTAAAAATGGCTTCTCTGTGTGTGACTCCAGTCTGACCCCGCCACCTCCTCTCTCCTCCTTCACTTCTGCAGAGGGCACAAGATTTAAGATGGTGAGGAGACAAACTAATTCACTCCAGCTGGAGGCAATGACTGCATCTATGTGTGTGTGTGTTTTCAAGCTCTTTCAACAGCATACACACATGCATACATGTGTTTTACTCTACATACAACTGAATGATGTATACAACCACACCTATATTAGTGATAACATGATGCAACATACCTCTTATATATGGGTGACATTAAGATGAATATAATCTTCAATTCTCCACAATGACTGCCCTTTTCCTTCAACATAAAGTATGTACTTGTGTGTGGGTGTGTGTCCATACAAACAAAAACAAAGGACCTCCATGAAACCATCTGCAGCAGGCTCATCTATATCATCACCTCCCTTAATTGAAAAAAGCAAAATCAATGGTGAGATAAATCAGAGAATATATCTGATAGAAATAAATGAACAAGAGTGATACCTGACACGAGCAGAAGGTGTACAGGTCGTGGTGTCAGATAGCAGGTCGGTAACACCAGGTCTGTGAGGTTGTGACAGCCCAGACTTGTCAGAAAAAGAAAAAAAGTCAATAATGACCTTTCCTGCACACCCGTCTCTGTATTTCAGTGGTTCTCAAAGTATGGTCCGTGGACCACTGGTGGTCCGTGAGCGCCCCCTAGTGGTCCGTGAGTATATTGGTAACATTTCACATTTGAAATTAATTAATTAATTAAAGTTTTTCGCACACTCGCGGGAATATCTCCGCAATGGAGCGAGCTTAAGTTTCACTTTCGATTGCATAATATAGCCCAGATAAACACCTTCAACACACATGTTTCCACTTGTTTGTACCATTTTCAGGCAATTTGTAAAAAATGATGTGTTTTTGGACATTTGTGGAGTTAGGTGGTCCGCGAGTGTTTTTTTATTGGTTAAGTGCTACTTGGTATGAAAAAGTTTGAGAAACACTGCTGTATTTGTATTAAAAAGTTGAATTTTAACTCAAATTTGTATTGAGATAACTCATTGCCATTCTTCTCACATTATTACGGTAAAAAGATTATTGCTCTGCAGCAGCCTCATTGTTTGTTTTCTATCTGTTTACCTGTTGGGAAAATACTGAATGTACTCTTCTAATATCAGAGTAGCACATGATAACAAAGGCACGTAGCTGTATGATTACCTATGGAGTGTCAGGACACACTGTTTTAGGCATATGTACCTCAGGGATGAAAAAGGGGTATTAATGTCACAAACATGGCGCATACACAACTGCACACACATATCTCTTGACCTCTAGCTCGCCATTTCCTTCTCTGTGTGCAGGGGAGGAGGCTTATGATTATATGTTGTGATTAATGTAATGCGATGCAGAAAGAAGGGTTACACCTGAAGACTGACTGCATCTACTAAGAGAGAGGGAGGATGGAGCAGGAAATCAACTGCAAAGAAAAGAGAGAGAGATGCTACTAAATGTCCTTGATTCAAATAGATGCACTACAAGATGGAGGGACAAGATAGACAGAGAAAAGGAAAGAAAGAGACTGAATGGAAGAGACAAAGAGGAAGACAGGATGGAGAGAAATAAAGCATGAAAAAAAAAGTCTGATATATTTAGCTATACAGAGGAAGAGTAGAAAGACACACAGCTCACAAGAAACACACACACCAAATAAAGTATTTCCAATATCGTCACAATTTGGCAAAATAAAGCACAATCACATGTAAAGTAATATGATTTATTTTGCATTCATTTGCAAACTGCGCTGCCACTGCAATGCTTCAGACTATAACTAAAATAATAACTTTAAAGGATAAAACAAATGCTCAATAACCAATGTATTTTAATAAAAATTGTTAACTGGTATGGTAGCATATGAAAACAGGAAGACATAATATGATCATGAGCTAAAATACCACAGAATATTGATCTGTAACCATATTGAATGATTACCCAGCTCTGTGCACATGTACTTCCATGTGAGACAAGAAGAGGACACACACAGATGTGAGCAGGACTGAAAATATAACAAAAATGTACAACACAATGCAAAGTAGTACTTGGATACTTTACATGTTGCTCTGCATGGAACTTTTAATAACTGCAGGATAAAAAAATAAATAAATGGCTGATGCCTTGAGAGGAAACATTTGATTACATATTGTACATCACACACACAATGAATTGGTGAGGCCGATAAGGATCAATAATGAGAAGCTCGTTGGACAATCTTAAATTATACAGGAAGTTAATATAATGTACACGCTATCAATGTATTGATCAATATTTAATGTTCGGATGTACCACACAGTATTTCTCATGTGTGAATCAGATTTCTTTTGAGACTTCTTCTCCACCTGAACCGAGGATTTAAAGATAGAAGGTGTCAGATTCTGTGAGGATTCTGAAGTCCTGTGAGACAGACCTGTGATCCTTGGTTTTATAACTAAACTTGACTGGACTTGTGTTGAATGAAAAAGCAGCTTCACTGTCAGTGAGAGTGCGTTTCCTTTTGGCACATATGAAAGGTGTGTATGTGTGTGTGCATATCAGGTGAGCGTCAGCGTGAGACAGGTGGTTGTTCGGATGTGTGTGTGTCTCTTTGTCTCTGTGGAGCCTCAGCCTTCATCTCGAAGCTGTCCCAGCAGGCGGGGTCTTCCTCCGTCAGAGGGGAGGCGGAGGCGGTGAGGTCGCTGAACGACAGCAGCGCAAATGAGCTGGCAGGAGGAAGAGACGGACGAAAAAGCTGAGGGGAAGAGAGAAGGGCCTTCAATTACTAAAATACCTCAAAATACTCCGACAATGCACAATCCTAAAGACCAATGTGTCATGTCTTAACAAGTTTAAATTATGTGACATGTATTGTAGATCACTATAGTTATTGGCGAATAATAAACATTCAAATGTTTGGCATTATTATTTATAAAACAATTATTTAAATGATAGAAGTTGTTATAGATAACAGTCTGCTTGTCATCTGATGGATTGATCTTTTAGATGGAGTCTTAAATCAAATTAAGATCATAGATTATGACTCACGCTAACCAATGCTTATAGGATATACAAGGCAAGCATTTGGACATTGACTGTCGGGTGTTAAACCTCTTATCAGAGAAAGCCGTGACCTTTAAATTATACTTTTAGCCCGGTGTACAAATGACTTTAAGCACATCTTCTTCACGGTTTCAGAGGTGATCAGAAAACTGTGCAGTGTTTTGGCTGCTAATGAAACATTTAAAACTTCCATTTCATTATTCATGCTGAAAAAAATAGTTATAAATATGACCAACTGTTAATATCCTTACCTCAGACCCTGTTTTGTCTGTTGGACCGAGTGCTACAGCAACATGATGGTCAGCATCCAGCAAGCTCTCCTGCGCACACACACACACACACACACACACACACACACCACACACACACACACACACACACACACACACACACACACACACACACACACACACACACACACACACACACACACACACACACACACACACACACACACACACACACCACACACACACACACACACACCCACACACAACACACACACACACACACACACACACCACACACACACACACACACACACACACCACACACACACACACACACACACACACACACACACACACACACACACACACACACACACACACACACACACACAACACACACACACACACACACACACACACACACACACACACATTAGTACCAACTATATATAACCCCCATATCATAACATATTAAAACACATTTTGCTAATTAAAATTCAGAGCAAACACTTAGAAATATAGAGCAAGTACTATAAGACAAATAATAGATATGTGCACAGGTGTTGATACTGTACAGCATGCACCCGGATCTGTTGAATAAATGCATGTGAATGAGTTAGCAGGATTTCTTAGGAGAGCAAGCATGGGTTCAGTCAGTTCAAGGTTCAGTCAGATTGCTGTATTTACAAGTCACATGACGCTTGCCAAGCGATACCCGTGCTTGTGATAGAAGAAAAACATCAAGCATAAATTCATTTACTGAAAAATGGCAATGCCTAGCTAGATGATGTTATGCTGCTGCAACACACACATTTCCCAAATTGGGATCAATAAAGTACTATCTTATCTTATTAACCCATGCTATATCATCTGTGCTAATAATATTACAATTTATAAATGGCAAAATCATATTCAAATCTATATGTTCAGATTTTTTGAATCTGTACAGATTTAGTTTCTGTTGACCTTCTTATACTACAGTACTTAACATGAAACATTCCTTTGATTTCATCTGTTATTCACATTTCTCACACTATTACTATCAATCCTGTTGAGCCTTGATTGTCCTAAAAAAATTCCCTTTCAAACGGTCGTTCTTAATGTGTCCACTCTATAACTTGCTTTGTAGACGACACAAAATGCTTGGAAATGAAAGGCCAAAAACTGAGTGTGTATACGTGGGAGTAACAGGTGGTGCGGTGCGTGTGTGTGTGTGCTGTGGGGAGCTGGTAACAACATGGCAGATAGAAGGGAGCATAGAGAGCCCAAACAGAAACATTTAGATACATTTCAGCAGGAATTGTTACTAAAAGAGAATATTTCGATTTTGTTCTGTGTATTTTTGGCATTGATAGGTCCTTCAGGTTCTGCCTAGAGTCCACAGGAGTGATCAGCAGAGGTCAGCAGGAAGTAATCAGTCACAGCTGCTCTCTGGTCCAGCCAATCAGCACTCAGCGAGTCAGAGGACAGGAGGTCACCAGACTGCTGTTCGTCTCATCTCTCTGTTCGCTCCGAATGTGTCAATTTCTGTATGACATGACAAACTAAACATTTAAATTTGAGATGATTTAACCTCTCAAGAACACTGCAATCATTCCCTGATTACATATAAGATGCGTGTCTCTGTCATTGGGCAAGCACAGAGAGAGGAACAGCTTCTCTGTAGTGTGTGTGCGCTCTAAACAATGTAATATTTAATAGCACTTCACAGGATTAAACATCTGATGTAAATGATTTACAACACCTGCTTAACATAGTGTTAGAATCTATTAACCCTTCATTTTAATGTTAAATGTATTGTATTGATTGTAATATATATAAAATAATCTTGTTGTTTAGTTGGAATAATTTAAAGAACTGTTCTCATTGCCAATCAAATTTAGTTATTCTATAGATGATAGGAGAAAATAGTAAGCTCGAATACCATGGTATTAGGGCTGATATTAATTAATTGTGTGCTGATTATTTTCTAGATTCATTGATTAATAATTTTGTCTATAAAATGTTGAACAGTTCAAAACTTTAAGGTACGCAATTTGCAATGATATACAGTGCAGAAAAAGGAGGAAATGTTCATATATTAGGATCCTGGTACCATCAAATGTTTGGCATTTCTGCTTGTATGACGGATTTGATTATCAAAATAGCTGCAGGTTCATTTTCTGTCAACAAAAAAATAATGAATTAACTTTTTAAGATTAATTTGGCAAATTAGCCCTTATTTATATTTGTTTTAAAATGACACTGTAATGTTTTCTGTTCAAATACCTGACAAACTTACACAAATTAATACTATATAAATATGGAATCAAACAGCTGTAAAATGAGGCAGTGCAGGGGAGATTTAGCGGGAGCATCCCATTTTCAGTTTATGCTTCACTGATTCTTGCTTCAACTCGCTCCTCTTCATCCTGTATGCTGCTGTTGCCTCACTTTGCCCTACACTCTAGTTACAAAGAGGACACATGCATTGCCATCTACCTGCGATCAATACAAGTGAGCTGTTATTCCCCAGTGTGAAAACACAGACACTAAAACAGCATTAAGCCTCGGCGACCTCGAGAGGGATGGAGAGAGGCGAGGAGACGGGACATTAGGATTTTCAGACCAGTGGTAACCTTTTAGCAGTCACTTGTCAATCCATCTTCCAGTGGCCATGAAGGAAAGAGGAGGACGATGTGAGGGGGAATAGAGAGGACAAATACAGGGGGGAGAATAAGGCGGAGAGAGAAAACGAGACTAAAATACATCAAAGTAGAGGTGGAGAGGACAATACATGAAGGTGAGGAGAGAAGAAGAGCAGAAAGGAGGAGATCAATGGGGAAAAGATGGCAACAGAGGATTCTTATACTCTGACAGTGAATGAGGATGCACTCCTTTTACTCTTGTCCCAGTATTAGGGGGGCTGGAGGGCCACTTGAAGGCTCCCTTAATGCGATCCCTTGTGGGTATTTCTCTGCAAAGACCACGCGTGATTCACTTTGCAGATACTTTCAAGGGGGGGCAGCCACTGGAATACTTTTTTTTTTTTTTTACTTTTATTGTCATTACACAGTAGGCCTACTTACTATGTAACAAAATGGTTTCTCTGCATTTGACCCATCCTAGTGTTAGGAGCAGTGGAACAGGAGCCCACAGAGAGCTGCTTTTCAGCGAATTGATTCCCCTAAAGCAGCGTCAAACTGTACATATGTTAGTTATAAGAGGACATTAGCATTTTTAAAACTATCTTTACATAAAAGGAGTGCTGTCAAAGTAAATATTGTCTGTCTGTGATACTATACATTGGACATGCCTCTTTTCAATAACAAAACTGTCTTTGTTCCCCCTCTTAAATTAATGGATGAATATTTTTGCGAAAATACTTAAACAAGCTGTGTAATGTGCAGGACAATATCTTGGCTAGGCGTTGAGACTGAGATACGGATATGATTTAACTATTCCTTTATATGGTGCGGAAAAACCACATTGGCGAAGCCTCTTTTGGGCAATATAAAACATTGAAGGATCCAAATAAATAAAAAACGTGAATCATACCCACATACAAAAGGAAAACATTTGTTGCCAATGATTCGCTCAAAAACACTGCATGCTGCTTCCAATATTACGCAATTATTTCTCAGAACAGGAAATTAAGGTAAAACTACAGAATTGTGTTTATATCAGGTCATCATATTTGGAATATTACCATGTATAATCTTTTGTCCTTTGACACACACAAGACTCACTTCAAATATCCAGTCCTCTTCTTCTTCCTCATCGAGGTGCATCTTGGTCTGGCGCAGTACATGCTTCTGTGTGAGCGGTTCAGGGGCCAGGTGAAACTCCACCCTCTGCAGGTTAAAGCCCAGACCCGTGCCAATGGCTTTGATGAAGCTCTCCTTCAAGGCCTTGGAGGAAAAGGGAGGAAACTTGATCAGTTGCATGCAGAAAATGATCCCCGGCACATAAGGAAAAAGAAGGACATTTGTATGCCTGACAAATCGGAGAAATACAGTCTGTTTGTGCCTCTTTGTGTGTTTGTCTGTTTTGGCTCCGTAGCACAATAACTTAAAACCACAACAGATGGGAATCTATGCACACATGTATAACAGTGTGTATACAAAAGAGTGACTTTGTGTGTTTGTGTGAATGTGTGTGTGTCCAGCCAAAACCAACCCAGCTCGGCAGCCAATGAGCCACAATAACAGTATTACAAGGCTAATCACTATGGCAACCGTCGAACTCTGCCATTAGTCAACAGTGTGGTGATGATGATATCAGAGCTTGACGTCTCTGTGCCACCCTCTCACTCTCACAACATCTTTACTTAGCACCACCATTGCTGTCGCCGTCCATCTGTGTGTGTGTTAGGGTGTGTGTGTGTGTGTGTGCACGTGCATGGAGAAAAAAACAAGACAGAGGTGGTGAAAAGAAAGAGGACTAAGTAACAATGAAATGCAGGGATAGAGAAGCACAAAACGGGACAAAAATATACATATTTGAATTAAGTAAAGAAATCACACAGGAATATTTATTTTTGTACAAATGTGTGTGTGTCTCAAAGGACATTGACAATGTTATTTCCTCCCTATGCCCCCCCCTCCCACACAAACACCGCCCGTGGGGCCTAGCAGCAATGCAATGTGATGAAAGGGTAGGACGGTTGCCATGGTTACCCAGTGGCGGTAGAACGCGGCTAGCTGCAGGTGCTCCGAGCCGGCTGATTGGATGACGCTCCACTCGTACGCTGTAAACTGACGAGTCATGATGCGGAAAAACTCCGGTACAGAGCTGGTACCTGGAGGGAATGAAGGAAGGTGGAGAGAGAAGGAAGGACGAGACCAAAACAGAAGGAAAGGGAAGGAGGGAGACGAGGGGAAAGAAATTGAGGTGTCAGAGATAGAATAGAGCGCTACCAGGATTACATAATATTTTTTTTAGATACTTGTGGATGGTTCATTTCTCAGAAAAGCCTCATATATAAATGTGACTGTAACACACACGTGCACACACAGAGGAATCCAAACACTTATACACGCCTTAACCTTTTACATTAAAAAGGCAACAGTGGCCTCTTGTGGTCAAATTGAAAAACACACAGAAAATATAAAATATATTTCTGCCTCATTGTTAGGACTTCAGCTGCTGACACCGAGTTTAGAAGTCTCATATTTTAAGCCTTATCATGATCAAATGGAGCATGTTTGAATTTGGAAAAGTTTTACATTTCAGAAGACTTCAACAAAATGTCTGCAACACGTGTGTGTGCTTTTAAGTCCCCAACTATAACAGTTTTTCTCACAATGTGTCATACGTGAGTTGATGTTTTTTTCCCTCTCTGCTGCTATTCCAAACCATTATTTTCAAATCAATAAACACATTCTCAGAGCATTTACCTGGCATGGTGTTCTTCATGATATCCACTCCCACCTGCCCCCCCTGCTCTGCAGCGAGCACAGCGTAGTCCCCCTGGTGGGACAGATTGAAACTCCAGGACGGGGGTTCAGTGCCTGAATCTGATCTGACCTGGAAGTAAAGGGCATCACAGTCATCAAACAGTGGATATTTGTATAAGACGACATAGAACATGGCTACTATTTCAGTCTATTATAGTGGGGAAAGTATAGTATGGTCTAAGCTTTAGGTGAAAATATACAATATTAAATCAAGTCACTAGGTAGGTCAGATTTTCACTTCAAGATTATTTTGGCCAAAGAAGCTTGAGATAACATCGTTATTTATAGAATCTTTTAACAAAAAACAGGAAACTTATTTGTTTTGGTTGAGAAAGTCTGTAACCATAACTGTACAAAAGCATCAATTATAAGCGCTGGATTACACAATATTATAATATATGCATTGACTTGAAATAACTATTTGTTGTTTTTTTAAATATCACACTAGCAATGCAAATAACTTTATCCAGCAACAATCCAGTATAACTGCATTTACATACGTTATGTGTCGAGCTCAAAAAGTGCCCAAGATCCATGCAAAGTCATGTCTTACTATATAGATTGTGATGTAACACATACCCTGTTATACATCTAAAACACTACATACGATTAATGTTCCCTGTAAGTGTAGTTAAGGGGCAAACAAGTGCATTTCAATACTTTATCACTGTGTTCTGACAGTCACCACTGGCCCACTGGTGGGATAGGATAGGAAGTACAAATCCAGGCTTTGTTTACTTTAGATACAAATCACGGTGTTAACCTTTAGTGGAGCTGCCAGGTAAGGTTTCCCCCTGGGAGATCGCTCCAATCTGATCTCTGACCACGGGATCCCCATCCTCTCACACACAAATCTCCTCAGCAGCAACCTGCCAGCCTGAGAGACAGAAGGTCAGTGTATTCAAAATTAAAAACTTTATTGCCATATCGACATGATTGATTGGAATGTATCTAAGTGAGCTCACTTAGCAAAGACAGAGAAAGACACAAATAGTAGAGCTAATAACTCGTAAAGCATATAATAGATATAATAAAATATACATTGTTGGGTAATATCTAAAGTCATAAAATAATTATTAAAACATAACATATGGGCGATATAAAATCCTCTCTTGAGAAAACTGTAGATGAAACATGGCACCTGTTAGGAAATTAGCAGCAACATCAAACAACCCACTACATAAAGGGCTACAAGTGCATACAAACATCTGCCCTGTTGCACCATTATTTACCATGCCACGTGGCCTGCAGTGTAAAGAAGGACAGCTTTGGGATATGAGCAGGAAGTATTGGTCTTAATGATTCTTAGTGGAGTGTCTTAGTTGTAAACTCTTGAAACGTTAGGATCTCATTTTGATGTCTAGCCTCATCTAATAGTCCTTAAAGCAGTGTTAATGACTTCCATTACGTCCAGCTGTCTCTTGTCCTCAGCTGACATGTTGCTGAGGCAATTCAGCGTTGAATAACTATACTAGATACATTAGGAATATTATTTTTTAACGGGATTTGAGTGCTTATTTCTGTTTTATTTGAAACATTTTAGGAAATAATCTTTTTTATTCAAATTGAAATCTCTTATATTAGGAATAAGGAATGTTATATAAGGAATTGTATAAGTACACGTATGGCACAACTCTTTGAATGAGATTTACGTGATTATTTTTATTTTAAATTCATATTGTTATGAATGTTATGAACACAATAGCTCTGAGGCCATAGTGACCTAATGACTCCAATTCCATGCAGTGTGTTTCTCCCTCTACACTGGACAAATATGGCAGGTTTTTTTTCCATTGAAATATGATTATCTTTATATACAAATATTTATATAAAATACAAGGCCTACAAACATCTAATAAAAACAGGTCATACTCTTCCAGTGTACAGTAGTACTACAGTCAGTATGTGAACTTACATTTCCAACTTAAGACGGACTTCCCCTAGGTATTGTCTACTAATTCCTTGGTTGTGGACAAATTATAATGTTACACGTGGATATTTTTGATTTGACCACTGGGAAAGGACCTAACTCTGGTGGTAGTTCCACAGTAAGATAAGCCAAAGTGTACAGTCAGACTCACCATGGCTGACTTTGCATCCTTTGCAAACACGAACTGTCTGATCCTGTCTCTTTCCTCCCGCTGGATGCAGCGGTTAGCTAATATCCACTCAGACCTGCTGGGTCTCCAGGACCCACAGAGAAAAGCCCAGCGAATAGAGCCCATCTCTTCACCTCGCTTTGGTCATCTCTCCTTCACAACTTCAGACTGCTTACAAGTTAGCTAACGAGTTAGCATCGCACATTAGCATGTAGGACTTGACCGACAACAGCACTCATCTGATGCTTTATAACTTAACAGTGGAGCACCAGAGCAGCACATAACTGAGAGCTGCTAATAAAATGACAACTCTCTGTTTACCTTTTTGGGTTTGAGAGTGGTTAACATGCCCGGAAGAGCCCGGCGTGACTCAACATCGTCATAAGTGGGCGCGGTGGAGGACTGGCCAATAGGAGCGATCAGAACAGTGCGCAACAAACGATACATTTACGTACTCTCGAGAATATTGTAAAAACGGCAAAACCATGTTGTGGTTTCAATCAATTGGATCGTTTTTGCAACCCTTGACATAGATAATTCCCCGAAGCCATGATTGATTGTAAATACATGGATTTCCTTACTATCACACTTTTAAAAAACAATTTACCCACGCCTCTTTCTTACAATGCTTTTAAACGTATTTGCGCGTCTACATAATGGCGGGGTATTACTTTGATGCGTTAATAAAGAAAACAAAATGTTTTAAATCACGGTACAATTTTCTATTCAACATATTGTATCCGATTTGCACCTATAAAGACGCATCTAAAGCGTAAATATTAAAATATAAGTTATTTCCGACTGACATTGAATGCAGCATTACAATTGTACCTCTACGATGTTGTTGTGATTTCGGAACATCTGTGTGTGTAAGGTGAGTTGTATTAGAAATATATTGCATATATAGTTATATTGGGGTGGTGGTAGAATAGGCAACAGACATGACGGTATTACATGTGTAATTACGAAGATAAAATTGTGTCGTGCTCGTCTGGTTAAAAAAATACTAGGAATCACTAGCTACTACATCGTAGCTTATTCCTCGAAACAAATACACGTTTTCTATATAAACTATAACATTCATATTAGAGAAACAGGATGGTATAACCAAAAAGCACATATTGCGTATGTGGGTATTGTATCTACATGTAGTCAAATAGAAGAAACGCACATGTCATATAGGCTACCTGCAATTAACCTTATATTACACACTGAATATGTTCCATATTTGGAGCATATGTAGGGATTTTAGATATCGTGTTTACTGTATATCCTATACTACAAGGCTAATAGCATATTCTCCCCTTTTATGGTGTGTTCTTTTTTTCAGTTTTTTAAATCTCGAGTTTTCCCTTCTACAAATTGAAGGTCTAAGGTGGCGAACGTGTTACACACTCTAAATCCATCTGTGCCAAATGTAGGGATTTTAGGTATACTGACGATTTGACACACACTTCATACACACTTTATATCCCAACAACATTAATTTGTCCCTTTCCGTGTTCCTTTTTTACATACAGGAAATGTGTAGAGCCCTTTCAGCCTGTGGTGTTTATCTTCCTGTGTAAGCTCACCTGGCTGGTTGGAGACTTAAGAGCATTTTCTTAATAATGTGGCTATAACGTCATCGAATCAGGGCCTTTGATTTCCTCTTTAAGCCAACCTGGTGTGAGCTCTGCAACCTATCACACTTCTTTCCCCAACTTCAAGTATCACATGCTGTTACAAAGAGCTTGCATTGAGTGTAAGAGTTGGGATGAGAACTTCAAGTTTCCATCCACACTTTTTTCCCCTTAAACCTACCTTCTTACTTTTTCTTGATATCTCCATAACTTCACCCTTGTCTTCTCTCTCCAGGTATATCTCCTCGTCTCTGTTTGTCTCTCTGTGCCTCTGGGGTGTCGGTCCCCTCCTTGCCGCCAAGCTGGATTTCCTGCAGATTAAACATCTAAAGAGGAAGAGGAAGAGCAACTACAGTGTGAAAGAAACACAGACTCTTATCAGGGAGATCCACAAAAGGACGGACGTGTTGTTCTCCAGACAGCAGGTGCAGATTTCCTCTTCTCTTTCACCTCTATGTGTGTGACTTTAGTTGAATAATTAGTTTTTTAATATATGTCTTTGTGAGTGTACTAACTCATTACTGAAATCATACATTTTAAATATGTGAGTAAGTTGTACTGTGTTCTTGACATGCTCATCCATACAACAAAGAAAAACAAATTATGAGGCATAAAAGAGTTAACTACGGAGCCCTGGAGGGTTCATAGAGAGAAAAATAAATAAAACGTGGCCACGTTTTACTTTCTCGTGCGCACGCTTTAGTAACTCGTGCGCACGAGTTACTAAAGCGTGCGCACGAGTTAATAAAGCGTGCGCACGAGCTAATAAAGCGTGGCCTCGTTTTATTTAAATTGAGGGATTCCTGTCCGTGACTCACAGTATCTGCTGCCCACAGCTGTTTTATAGAAGGAAAACCTCCTTCACTTTATGAAATCTCTGCGGCACCAGTGGCCTGTACTACGAAGCAGGATTTGCTATTTACACTATTCATTCATGAAGTATGACGCTGCGCTGTCAGCACGCGTCTCCATGTTTGTGATTGGTCAAATGTTGCTAACCCCGTCCCTTTCACGTGAACGCGCTCTCAGCCGGACAGAGAAACCCTGGTTGATTTACTGAGTTGATAACCAGCTTCGTAGGACCGCTTATCGACATCGCGTTTGTTAGGGTTAGTTAAGCCGGGTAAATCGAACATGTCCAAGTCCAGGGTCTGTTGAACTGGCTTCGTCGTACAGGGCACTGGAGGCAGTAACGTGTAACTCAGCAGAATCTGAGAAGAGCAGCACCAGCTGCAAAGAGCTGTGCCTTTTACTGTTTACTTCACTGCGTTTCCCTTCATTAGAACCGCTGAATAGAGATCGAGGCTGCTACGTTTAACCACACACACCTATACACACATCGAACTACCAGAGTATTCTCCCTCGTTTTAGTAACTGGTGCGCACGCTTTAGTAACTCGTGCGCACGCTTTAGTAACTCGTGCGCACGAGTTACTAAAGCGTGCGCACGAGAAAGTAAAACGTGGTCACGTTTTATTTATTTTTCTCTCTATGAACCCTCCAGGGCTCCGTAGTTAACCTCTAGCTGATAAGTAAAACAAATGTGCAGTGCTGAAATTCCAAAGTATTTAAAACAATTATTTAGCAGCATCCCTATTATCTCCACTGTCCACCAGAGAGCACTAACATTTTTATTTTTATTCTGCAATATAGCCAGCTCACTGCACATCTTGGTCCCAATTTTTAAAACAAATATATTCATACATAAGGGTTCTTTGTAAAAAATAATTAATTATTTATTCATGGAAATTGCAATAATATTCTTTCAGCATTGCTATTGGCCTCAAAAAGTATCCTTCTCCAGTATTTTTGAAAGGAACCTGCATAACTCACACTTCCAGACTTTACTTATCCCAACACAACATTTGTAATTGTTATTTCTATTCTCCTCGTTGTGTGTGAACAGAACACAGCCATTAATGAGCTGAAGAGACAGGCATGGGAAGAAGTGGCTCGCGGTGTTAATTCACTGGGGGAAGGAGAGCTACGCACTGCAGCAGAGGTTTGTTTATCCCTACATTCAAATCACACTTTTATATTTCCTTTTTAACCTTTAAAAACACTAGCCCCTTTGCATCCCTATCTCCTGTGCAGGTGAAGCGTCGTTACCTAGACTGGCGTGCACTGATGAAGAGAAAACAGATTCGGGCTGAGCTGTCCCTCTCCTCCTCCTCATCCTCGTCTATGGCCCTGAAGACTGAGTATGATCAGTCCTCCCCTGAGCATGAGGCAGCTTCTCTGGGATCTGGATGTGACCAGCTGCTTGACCTCTCCAGCCTCTCCAAGGATTGCCACTGCGACTGGCCGGAGTTGGTGGCTCTCAGTGAGCCGAGCGGGCAGTCCATAATGGGGGTGAAGATGGAGGAAGATGTCACTGAATACAGGGTAAGAAACCCATCATCAACATTATGGTGCCACAGTGAGTGTGTATACATTTACTATGGATTAGATACTCTAATTAAACCTCAGTCTATTAATTACATTTGCATGTAAATGAGGACAAAATGATTTTCTCAATCTCCTTCATGCTTTTTGATACAGAACTCACATTAACACGGTTAATGTCACTACAAGTACCCTACGTATGTTAACCTTGATGATGTGTTAATGAGCTTGATTAATATCCTCATCAACAGAGGTAGTTATGTTTTACACATCCCAGTGATGATGCCAGCATATTTTACATCAAGTGGCTCCTGTTAATCTGGCCTATTGATTGCACTCTTGTATGTTCACAAGGTAGGAATTACATTAAATTAAGGGATGTGTTCATTCATTAGGATTTAATTAAAACTTGACGTAAAATGTATGTTTTTCTAATTGCATTAAGATTTGTTATCAGATAATCATAATTTCTTCACACTGCAGTGTTACAATGTTCCTCATAAAATCCCTAAAAAACCTTGCAGCCTATTTCTCTCCAGTGTTATGAACCTGTATCAAGTCTATTTAAAAAAAAAAAACACAACCAAAAACTCACAACACAGAAGCTCAGAGTTATCTTCAGGAATATAACTATCAACACTTTGCAATATGTGTTAACAATTACATGAGTGAAGCTATAGAAACACTTGAATCCTACCTTTCCCATAATGCAACTCAATCTCACATTTCGTCACCTATCATCAGGGTTAGTTTCTTAGACTTGGAGAACTCCCTCTAGAGACACACTATACAGTAGAGCTGTTTTCACAGGATAAGAGCAGTGTTGCCTCTCATGACAAGTAAAGTTAAAGTCATGTGCATAATCCAAGTGTCAACCTTCGACCCCATTAGTGAGTTGATCCCAATAGACCCCCATCGTATAACGCCCAACTCTACAGCAGTAAAGCATGGTCCTATAATGCTAACCTCCCTATTCATAGGAGCTTAAAGGGGTGTCTTTTTTCATATAACTCACATGTTTAAAATATTGAGTGCACAAATAAGGGTGTCATGGCCTTGAGTGACAGGTGGGTGTGTCAGATGTCTGCTTGCTTTATCACACAGGCTAGTTTATGCTCCTACAACAGCCCACTTCTTCGCCCATGGCACGTCAGAAACATGTGGGTGTCTTCATGGAGACCATGTCCATGTTTAACACAGTCTATGGGAAAATAGGTCTAGTCTGTATTTAATGATCTCCCTTTATCCTTCTAGCTGCATGGTGATATGGGAGACGGAGAAATAGAAGATGATGATATTCCCTCACTCCTCAGCGACATAGAGTCACGCGGCGAGGGGCATGTTGGGAATGTTTACTG